GTCCGCATCTTGTACAGCAATTAACCACTAAGAAGAATAAATGCAGTGTATTATTTGTTGAAACTGTACTTCCAATTTGATTTGAAACTGTCTTATTGCTATCTATTTATCAATAAAACTTTGAAAATAAAGAAATAAATAAATTAAAAACTCCAATCTTTAAATGTTAATAAATAAATAAATAAAATATACCAACTGACCTGAAAACATCATATCATAAGGATATAAGTGTGCCTATGTTTATAGCAGCGCAATTTCTGATAGCCCAATCTTGGAAACAACAAAGATTCCCATCACCTGAGGAATGGTTGAAAAAGATGTAGTATTTTTACACAATGGAGTATTACTCAGCTATAAAGAATGATAAACTCGAAACCTTTATATATAAGTGGATGCCATTTGAAGATATACACATAAGTGGAATTAATCAGACACACATGTGTAAATATCCTATAGTTTCCCTAGTATAAGAACTCAAAAGAAGAAGTACAAATAGAAAAGTATAATACAACTAAAACGAAAGCAAGAACTCGAAGACTAACTAATTAAGAGAGGGAAAAGAGAAGAGCTAGAAAGCATGACAGTGACAAGCCATACAGTTATATGTAGAAGATGGGAAAGGCAATGATCCTGAGAATCTCCAGAAGATTTTTGTATCTAGCAGTTAATTGGAAAGATTCTCACCCTGACGGACTATCTATATTGACACTTGTGAACTAAGCAACTGCACTGAAGATAGCAATTTGTAATAGTAGGTTCATGCGTGGAGTGCATGTCATTATGGTTTTCTGAATATGGGCTGCTTGTCATGACATGTCACTCGCTGCTGTGCTGTACTCTGGGGAAGATGATTGTTCAAAAAGAAGGGGATGGTGAATGAAGGCAGGAGACAAGAAAAGGAATATTGGGGGACTGTCCTGCTTCAAGGTTGTATTTGGTTAGATTTTTGAACTTATGTGTAAACATAAGAATTATACAATTCTTTATGCCTATTTCAAAATATATTCTAATTTTTGTTGTTTTTTTCATCATATTCTGTCAGGACTTAAAGTTCAACATATCAATACTTGATGAAAAATACCTGTTCCATGTTACGCCTAAGATGTTTGACATTCAGTCAGATAGTGAGGTTAAGCTTAACACCCTAGGTCATATGGTAATAACAATAAGCTTCTCTTCTGGAGGGTTAACAACCTTAGTTTATAGACTAAAATTAGAGAAAAAAGAGGGCAGCAAGGAAAGCCTACATTTTAGCTCCAGTCTTCCAAGGTAAATTAAGACTCGGGACATATGAGTACTTGTACTCTAACGTCATGTAACTCAGTAGTGTACCAAATTTTCTGATCAAGGAGATTATGGGGCCAAAGAGGAAAGTGATCGATGATGTAAAGTGTGCCTACACAGAGTCACATGGAGAGAGAGCATTCTCTCAGGCTTTCACAGAAAGCAAATTGGCCAAGTAATGGCTGTGACTCATCCACATGGCTCATACTGAAAAAGGATCTACAATCTGAGGTACAGGGTTTCAGGATAAAGCCTGAGGGGATTTGACTGACCTCATGAGATGCATAAGCTATAAACTCTTGTTACAGAGGTCTTGCTTTATCTTGGTCTTAACTATCCAGGAGTAAAAAATAAAAACAAAGTACAAGAAATAAAGCCATGTTATGTTGAGCTGTAGGTGACTCAGGTCAACTTTTTGACTTTGCCAGTCAAGTGCAAGACCCAATAGTATTATGGACTAATGGACTATTTTGGAATATTTAGTTGAGTTCTCACACCTATAATATTTATTGTTGGAACTAAACAAAAGAAAGGGGGATATAGATGAATGTCCAATTTTTTCTGTGTATTCAAAATGGTTAGGATAGATATATAGCTACAATCTCTTAATTCAGTGAACAGAGGGATTTGTTCTAATAGTGTTTGTAAATCCGATATCATGACTGCATCTTGTACAACAAATAACCACTAAGAAGAGAGTTTGCAATGTGTTAATTATTAAAACTGTCCTACCAATTTGATTTGAAGCTGTCTCTTCTATTTCTCAATAAAATTATGGGGAAAAAATAAATTAAATTTAAGTAAAATGAATGAATAATTTTAAAAGAAAAGAAAAAGAAATATCAGCTTCCTAACTATTGCTTTGGGATTATGTTGTAGGCTCTGAAAAAAATCACTTTATGCCCACCTCCTTGCCAGTCAGTCACTTCAGCCCCAGAGGTAAAATGCCATCACACCCAATAGCCCTTCACATAGGAAAAATCTCTGTAAATCATGTAGGTACCATGTCACTGTCACTCAGTGTGCCATAGCAGAGGCTGCATTGCACAGGTTAAAAGGAACCACAGGTGATGGTTCATCCCTTCACTTCCTCATCTCTACATCTATGATTGGAGGGTAAGGATGTGTGGACAGAAATGTGTCAGCCTGCCCAACCCAACCAAAGGCCTCCACTTCAGCTGATAGCCAGCACATCCAGTGACATTAGCAGGATGACTTATCCAGAAAATATAGCAATCAGTGTTCATTGTTACACATAGTGGAAATTCTGTGGCTGGTTTTATTTGATATTATTGTGGCAACTGATAATGGATACAACATGACCAGCACTGTATTACAAATATTTTTATTTGTGCAAATAGAGTTCACTACCTATAATTCTGTCTTTGTTTCAGTCTTTCAATCTATCTTAAATGCTTGGTGAAAGAAAGCAAGACCTACAAGTTTGGTGAAAATTCAGGAGATATGCTTGCCAAGGAGTCATGTGTTCACAGGCATCATCCACTCACCTTATTGGGCAAAGCTTCATCAATCTCCTGCTGCAGTTTCTTCAGCACATCAGGGTGAGTCGCCAATTCATACATAATGAAAGAAAGAGCATTGCTAGTGGCTTCATAGCCAGCAAAAATAAAGATAATTGATTGAGCTGCAATCTCCAGATCAGACATAGCTAAAAGGACAAGAAATGCTTTTCAGATAAAGCAGGTTAAATTATAACATCACAACTTAAAGGAAAAATTCACAGGAAGGTCCAAAACCCAAGGAAGAAGCATAGAGAAGAATTTAAAGTAATACTGGATTTGGTTTTCACTCTCAAATCCATTTTGCAGAGAAAACAAAGAATTATAATCCACTTTGTCCCACTTTCTGCAAACTTTTATCTACTTCTCCTCACTGTGGCAATCTCACCATCATAGCTGGTTCCTTTCAAGAGCTAGCATTTTCCCCCTATGCCCCCGAGATCACCATGCAACCACCGTAGAATAAGTAAAATTTATGATAGCCTTGTCACTCAAGAGAAAAACTAAATTATTCTAGCTAAAATAGAGCTCAAAAGTTGTTAAAAGAATTTGTCAGACTGTGTCTTCATTGTATGCAAAATTGAACGATCTCTGATCTAAACAACTTTGAGTCAAATTAAGGGAACAGAGACCCAGAGCCCAGGCCCAGTGAGTGAGTGAGATGACCCAGGACCCGCCGGATCCTGAACAGACGCAGAGCACAGGCCAGGTGAGTGAGTGAGACCACCTGGGGCCTGGGGATTCTCATTTGAACCAGAGCCCAGGACCAGGGTTGAACCCTTCAGCAGAACTCCCTGAAAAGAGGTTAGAGGCAAGACCCACTCAGCTGATTCAGGAGCAGAACATCTTGCCAGAGAGACACAAAGGGTTCAACTTTATTGCCTGCAGCAGAAAGAAGTGGAGCACAGCAGCCAGATGCAAACAACATCCACCTGGAGGAATCTGAACTTCATAGATACGTACCTGGTGCTAAGGTAATAACTCTGTCTAAGCTCTACACCAAAGGTCAGAAGACAGTGGTATACAAAGACAAAGAGAAGGAACAAAATGCAATCTCAAGCACCAAGTCCACCCAGTACAATTGCAGAAGACACTAGCACTGAGGAAACTGGAAATCACACACCAGATATCTCTGAAATAATAGCGTTGGCAGTAAAGAAACAACTGCAGAAAGGTATAGAAGAAATCAGATCAGAAATAATTTTGGAATTAAAAAAATTTAGTGATAAATATAATCCAAGAAGTACTAAGTGCTTCTAAAGAATACACTGATAAAAAGTAGAGCAGAATATAAAAATGATGGAACCCCTGAGTAAGCAATTTAGGACAGAAATAGAATGTATGAAACAGGTTCAAAGTGATATACAGGAAATTAAAACCTCAATCACAAGCTGGCAAAATGGTTTGAGGGAAAGTGAAACTAGACATTCTGACCTGAAAGACACCATTGCAGCAAGTAAGAAAAGATCTCTTAAAAACAACTAGGATGCAGGAAAAAATAATTCAATACCTGCAAGACGATGCAAAGATGAACAATGTGAGGCTAATAGGCATCGATGAGAAGGAAGGAGTCAATACAAATGATACAAAAACAATTTGGGCAGAAGCAATAGCAGAAAACTTCCCAAATATGGGGCAACAATCGGACATTCATGTAACCGAAGCATACAGAACTACAAATAAGATCCACCCAATGAAAACCAAACCCAGACATATCATAATCAAGATCCCAGAAATTCAGCATAGGAACAGTATACTAAAAACTGCTAAAGAAAAGAAACAGATCACATTTAAAGGAAAACCCATCAGAATAACAGCAGATTTCTCTTCACAAACCATCAAGTCAAGAAGAGCATAGAGCAAAGTACTTCAAGTTTTGTAACAAAATAAATTCCAACCCAGACTGATATATCCTGCAAAACTCTGTTTCAATTATAATGGAGAAGTGAAATACTTCCATGACAAGGAACAACTAAAGAATTTCATGGTGACAAAGCCAAGCCTACACAGACTACTAGATGATGTCCTAGAGAGGGATAAAATTGATGACAGCCCCATGAATGAGAATGGAAAGAACTCACCAAATAGGGAAAACAATTAAACACAGGAGAATAAGAGGTATACAATAGTAGTCTTTCAGTGATTCTATTGTGTTCAGCAGCAAAATATTTCCATCAGCACACTCTACCAGTGGACTTCTCTTCCAGCCTATGGGTCATGATTCCATCTGAGTCTACAGGGTGGATTTTGAAGAAATAGCTGTAGCTTGGTTCCACAAGTGATGAAACCAGCAACTGTCACAGTCATTATGCATGTCCACAATACACTAGAACTTTGTGTGATATCCTATCCTCAAACTGTTAGAAGTGCTGGTCATTTACTTGCCATTCAAGTATTTATCTTATGTTTTACTCTTAGTGCTTCTTTGCTATCATGAAAAATTTTTCTTAGTTCAATTGTTTGGGAACATTTAATTTTTAATCAATTAGCATTTAATTTTCTGAATATTGCTTAATCTTAATTTTTGTTTTAAGATTTATACTATATTTTTGACTTACAATTTATTTAAAATGCATTGTATCATATCTTCTCCTAGTATTAGAAACTTTAAAAAGTATACTTCCATTTTCTGCTGATTTCATATTACTTCTTCCCTGTCTTTTATATACACATACACACACAGATATGGAAAAAAATACGTGTATAACCCAACATAAGATTGGTACTGTTTCATAGAAATCTGCAATTACCTTTAAATAAGGGTTCATCTAATATATTTTATATAGTCCTGTATATCTATCATATTGAGAGCTCTTTATTGTTCATCCAGGAGCATACTGCAACTTCTCTTGCCTTTTGAATTATGCTTTTTGTTATCTCCTATATGCTGTTTCTGGAGGTATTAAAATATTTCAAGTTTGCATAACTAGAAAATCTTACTTTTAGTTTTCAAAGGTATGTTTGCTAAGTATAAAATTCAAAGAGGACAGATCTTTTCTTTCAGTCCTTTAATTAATCTAGTTCCTTACACACTTGGTCCTTTTCTTTCTTTCTACTACTGTGGAATAAGATGCTATTTAATTTTGTTCTTCCATAGCTAATATTTTTATGTATATGCTTTAATGATTTTTTTTCTTTACAAGAAGCTTTGGACAATTTCATTTTTGCATATCTTGGTATGATTTTATTTAAATGTCTTTGCAAAAGGTTCATTGTTCTTGGAAATGTGGTATTTTAAGTTGAACTAAATTCAGAAATTTTAAATCTTTAAATATTTATTGCCTATTCCTTTCGACTTTGAGAATTCTAGTTATATGAATATATTTCTTGGTTTTGATACAGTGAACTACTATGACTGACCTGTAAATTTCTTCTTCATTTTTATTTTGGATAGATTTTACTGATATAGTCATTTATGTTTATAAATAATTTATTTTCAATTTGCTATCTATTAAAAATTTTTTAAAAGTTAAAAAATGAATTGAGTAGAAGGACAGTTGAGGCAGTGGGGGAAAAAGACTTATCTATGCATGTAAGCAGAATGAATTTGACAACTATATTGTGCATGCAGTACAGTCTCTAGAAATGAGTAGTTAATGCTTAATTCGTTACATCTCTTTTTTACAATTGTATGTACTTTTTTCATTCTTAATTTCTTATACTTTTTTCTGACAATTTTACATGCATATATCTGGTAATGTGAATAACTTGTTGGAAGACAACACAATGTATTACAGCAAATATTGTGAAATTCATATTACTTTAAGTGAAATTCAGTATCACTTGTAAATTTTTCTGTTTGAATTCTAATTTGTACTCTCTTTAAAAAAATAAAAAATAAAACAAAAAAATTAAGGAAATAGTAGTAAACCACAGAGAAACTCTTGATACTCAAATTGTGGTCCATATAGCAACAGCATGTAAACTCTTATAAAAACACAAAATACTATCAAGAAATGAATGAGAATTTCTGCTGCATTCTAGGAAACCCCAGATCCAGTCCTAGCCCAGGCCCGGTGAGTGAGTGGGAAAGCTTCTGGCTGCCCTGTGCCATGGGGACCTGCTGGTTCCAGCACAGGCACAGCGGGGGGGTGAGACGCTCTTCCACCCCCTTGGAAAACCACCAGCACTGCTCCGCTGCACCACACCCCATCCTGATGGCGGGTGAGAATATCTGCCATGAGCTGGGCACCCCCAGAACCAGTACTAGCCCAGGCACAGTGAGTGTGTGGGAGAGCCGCTTCTCCCCTGTACTCCAACTTGCCCCTCCAGACTCAGCTCAGGCCAGGCATACAGGACTGAGGTGAAACCCTGCAGCAGCAATGCCTGCAGGGAGAGTAGGGGACAGAACCACGCAGCTACTCCAGGATCAGAACATCTTGTCAGAGGGGCACAACAAGATCACTCCAAAGGGCAGCAGCAGGAAGGAGTTGAGCCAGGAGCCCGATAAAAACCAGGCACAGCTGGATAAATCCAAACTTTGTAGATCTTCACCTGAACTTCAGCAGGTGCTAAGGTTATAACTGCACCAAAGAACTACAACAAAGGTCATAAGACAGTGCTACACAAAATGACAACCAGAAGGAGCAAAATGCAATCTCAGAACCCAAGCCCACACATAACAAGTGCAGAGGACACTAACACAGAACAAACTGGCAACCACATAGCTAAAATCAGTGAATCAACGGCTTCTGAAAAAAAAAAAAAAAGAAAGAAAGAAAACAGCTGCAGGAAGGTATACAGGAACTCAGACTGGAAATGAAAAAAGAAATCCCTGAATTAATAACATCTGCAGTAAAGAATCAAATGCACAAACGTATAGAGGAAACCCAAAGCCCACACAGAACAAGTGCAGAGGACACTAACACAGCTAAAATGTATGAATTAAGAGTGTCAATAGTGAGTAAGCAACAGCAGAAAGAGCAGAAAGTCATAGAGAAACTCAGAGGGGAATTCTTTACTACTAGCTTAGCTCAAATGTACAAAATAATAGAGTCCATACTAAATAAGCAACAGCAGAAAGACAGGAACACAGAGCAGAATTTTCTGAAATAAGAAAAGAATTCTCAGAACTCATAGAATCTGAAGTAAAGAATCAACTACAGAAACATAGGGAGGAAACCTAATGTGAAAAAAAACACTGCACAAA